CCTTGTACCCCAGCTCTGACTCCAAGCCTTCCCATCTGAAGGGCCAGGCGGTTTCCGCTGGCAAGACGGGAATTTTGGAGGAGTCTATGGCCCGAAGGGGCAGCCGGAAATCCATGTTCACCTTCGTGGAGAAGCCCAAGGTGACGCCAAATCCAGACCTGCTGGATCTGGTACAGACAGCTGATGAGAAGCGGAGGCAGAGGGACCAGGGGGAAGCTGGAGGGGAGGAGGAGCCCTTTGCGCTGGGGGCTGAGGCCTCCAACTTCCAGCAGGAGCCAGCACCCAGGGACAGGGACAGCCCCACCGCAGCCGAGAATGCTGTCCCCGAGTGGGCCTCCTGCCTCAAGTCCCCGCGCATACAGGCCAAACCGAAGCCCAAACCCAACCAGAACCTGTCGGAGGCCTCCGGGAAAGGGGCTGAGCTCTATGCCCGCCGCCAGTCCCGCATGGAGAAGTATGTCATCGAGTCTTCGGGCCACGCCGAGCTGGCCCGCTGCCCTTCACCCACTATGTCCCTGCCTTCGTCCTGGAAGTACTCCTCTGGCAGCCTCCGAGTGGCATCCCGAAGCCCAGCTCGGACCCCACCGGCCTCCCTCTACCATGGCTACCTGCCTGAGAACGGGGTCCTGCGCCCAGAGCCCACCAAGCAGCCGCCCTACCAGCTGCGGCCCTCGCTCTTTGTCCTCTCTCCCATCAAGGAGCCAACCAAGGCCTCACCAAGAGCCGCCTCACCCGCCAAGCCGAGCTCTCTGGACCTGGCGCCCAGCCTGCCCAAGGCGACCCTCCCACGGTCACCCGCCCTGCCTCGGCCCTCCCGCTCCTCGCCAGGCCTCTACACAGCCCCGGGCCAGGACGGCCTCCAGCCCACTGCCGTGAGCCCCACCTACAGCAGCGACATCTCCCCTGTGTCTCCCTCCAGAGCCTGGTCTCCCCGAGCCAAGCAGGCCCCCAGGCCCTCCTTCAACACCCGGAATGCTGGGATCGAGGCTCAGGTGTGGAAGCCTTCCTTCTGCTTCAAGTAACAGACCCACAGGGATCCCACTGCCTGTCAGGGCCCCATCTCTGAGGGCAGGATGGAAAGCAGATGTGGCAGGAAATGGCACAGGGCTGAGAGTCAGGAGTACAGGGACACAGGGCTCAAGGGCTGATGCTGCTGCCAGCTAGCTTTGTGACTGATGCTGGGCATGTCACCTCCCCTCTCTGAGGTGCAGCTGCCAGTTCCCTGCTCTGAGGGTGGTTGGACTCCATGTCAGGGATAGAAAGCTTGTTACTGGGCGGGAGGAGGGTCATGGAGATAGGCGCCAATGAGGCTGGGGCTTCCTCTGGTCTTTGTGAGCTATTAGGATGCCAGCGTCTTGCTGGGGAATGGCCTGGAAGGGGACCTTCACACGGGCTTCTGGAGCAAACATCCTGCCTGAGCCTGTGGAACGGCGGGACCACCCTCATGTGGCCCGACTCCTGGCACCTTTCTGCCTGTTGCTGGAATTCTCACCTCCACGGGTCTGTCTCTTCCGCCTCTGCCTTCTGGACACCGTTTCCTCTCCGCTGCTTCAGAGAGCTTTGCCTCGGCCTCCACATTTCCTCCTGCTGGATGAAGACTTAGCCCACTGCTGTCTGATGCTTTTCTCCTGCCCTCTGTCAGCTGCCTCCATGCCTTCTCCAAACACCTGGCTCCGCTTATGGGACAGCTAAAGCAGCTCATCCCAGACCTCTACCCTGGTTCCACCTGGCTTACCCCCACTGCTCTGGGGTAGGGGAGGTCCCAGGGACCCCTGAGAGACAGCCCTGTAGAAGGCTGTGCAGTGAGGAGAGAGTCCCCTGGCAATGTATCCGATGGCTGCTTTGGCTGCAACCTCAGCCAAATCTGCCTGACTGAAAGCAGCCATCTCCATGCAGTGGAAGGGAGAGAGGCAGGAGAGGAGGGTCTGGTCCATCTCAGCCTCTCATTTGCTGAGTGACTTTCCCTCCCTGGGCCTCAGTTTTCTCATTTAAACAATGAAGGCTCCACCAGTTGTGACAATCTGAGGGTGAGAAGATAGGCTGGTGCTTTGGGAGAAAGGCCTTGTAAGTGATGACAGTCCCCTGGGAGGAGAGGGGAAGGAGATGGGCAGTTGCTGTAGGACAGATGGAGATGAGATGTCTGCAAGGTTGTTCTGGGGAGGGTGTGGCTGGAATGAGCTGCTGGAGGAGCCGGGGGATTGGAAGCCTAGACTGGGATGGCTCAGGTGCAGGATTGCTAGGGCAGAGGGAGCGGAGCAGCTCAGGGAGATGGGAAGGAGACCTTAAGGTTCTGAGGAAAAGGCTGGGGACATAAGAGTTGACTCCATGTGTGTCTTTGGGTCTGTTTCCCCATTCACAGTACAGTGAGGGTGCTCAGTCAGGTAGGATGAGCACTTTACCACCTCTGAAAGCTTTATGTGCTGCAGCCCCCCAACACCAGGCTTTGTGGGGGGTGAAATACAGAGGCAAGAGGCAGAATTCAGATGGAAGATTCCCAAGGCTGGGGCCCGAGCACCACCCACTTACTCCTTTCCAGCCCTATTTCTGGGCTCCCCAGTGGGGAGAGGGGTGGTGGAGGCGGTGCCCATGCTGGGCTGAGCCTGCAGTTTTCCTGAGCTCCGGGCTCATCTCCATGGGAACGGGGTGCCTTCCCAGTGAGTTCATTCTGCCCAGAATGCAGGGGCATGTATGGGGAAGTCCTGAGTGAGCTCAGCAGATCCATGCAGCTCCCTCTCAGGACAGAGCGAAGCCCCTGCCCTAGACCTGCTCCCTTGACTCCTGGAAGAGCCCACCCTCCATCCGGCAACGCCTGCGGCCAGGCTGGCCAAGCTCTTCCCACTCTGTTCTCTCTCCTGTTCTCAATACACTCTGCCTCAAACCTGTCTTGCTTTCTTTCTTCCGTGCTCGCTGGCTGGCGGTCAGGGCCATCTCCCTCCTCCCTGATTCTGGCCTGGGAAGTGGGGCGGGACTGTTCAGTTCGGTGTGAATGTGTGGTGTGTCTCCTGTGCTGCCTGCATCTGCTGTGTCTGGATCAGCCATGGGCACAGATGTGTGCTGGCTTGGAAGCAAGGTGCCCTCTTCCCCAGAAGCCAGAACCCGATGGAAAGCACGTTCCTCTGTTTTCTCCTTCCTCAGAGTTTGGCTAAAAAGGCTGTAGAACCTGGGGAAAACGCACAACCTCTTAGAGTTCTTTAAAAGTGGAATTTAAATGCCAGCGCATACATTTTCCTGTTCCCTCTGGTCCCCTTCTCCTCTCCCTACAACAGCAGTTCTCAACCTGTGGGTCGCGATCCCGTTGGCGGTCGAACGACCCTTTCACAGGGGTTGCCTAAGACCATCCTGCATATCAGATATTTACATTACGATTCACAACAGTAGCAACATTACAGTTATGAAGTAGCAACGAAAATAATTTTACAGTTGGGTGACAACATGAGGAACTGTATTTAAAGGGCCAGAAGGTTGAGAACCACTGCCCTACAATGCAAATCTGGTCATTTCCCATGCTCATCACCACCTGCCTCCAGAAAACACTGAATTTCTGCCCCTGGTGGAGAGGAACACACTGTCATCGAGTCAGACTGGATTCCAGTCCCAGATCTGCACCTGATTTCTGTGACCTTAAACAACCCCTTTCCACTTCTGGGCCTCAGTTTCCCCTTCCATTGCAATGGAAGAACCTCAGAAGGCAGTTTGGGACTAGATCTGGTCTCTAGCAGTTCCTGTCTGACTTTGCTCTCCTCATGCCTTCACCCCACACATGTGCCCTGCTTTGGGGCTGGTGCTGGGTTAAGTGATGCACTTTGTGAATTTTCACTCATGTGTTTTCACAGTAGTTCTGGTACATACAGAAATTCAGGGTGCATTGAGATCTTTGCCAGAGAGTGAACACCTCTGATTTCCTGCAGCCTTTTTGTATTGTGCACCCCCCCTCCAGCCCCCCCATACACACACACAGAGAGTCAGTATCCAGCCATGGCAATTCCAATGAGGTCAGGCTCTGGCCCACCTCCAAATGATGAGGAGCTGTTCACCACTGCCCCCAGCATTCCAATACAAGCTGTTATTCCTTCCACTTGCTGGCCCTGACTTTCCCCTTGTGGCCACCAAAGGCAGAGACAACCCTTAGAGGTTTCAGACAATTACCTCAGCTCCCCCTGCCTCAGACTACTCTTCTGGCTGAAGAGCCCGGTTGCTCTGCCTCAATGCGTGTTGATGGGCTTTGATCATGAACTCTTGGCCCCACTTCCCTCGGCTGGGCTGACAGCAAGCTTCCTGGGATGTTGCACAGACAGAGCAGCTCTCAGAGTCTCTGGCTCACGTATAAACAACTCTGATCCTGGGAGTATAAGGGGTGGATCCCATGCCAAGCTTAACTTTCTTACTTGGTGATTGAGGCCCAGGGTCACTCCAGCATTACCATCCCATGAAGAACTGTTCAGACTGCTGTACAAACTGCCATCAAGAGTCAGATCTGGATTCTTGTCCCATCTCTGCACCTGACTCCTGTGTGACCTTAGACAACCCCTTCCCACCTCTGGGCCTTTTTCTCCTTCCATGCAGAAGGTTCAAATTCTGTGTCTGGACTCATCTAGTAGCTACTACATTGGAGAAAACAGATACTTATGTCCACTGCTTGCTTTTGATTGGGATAAATTAGATTCTGATCAGATGAGAGGCTGAAGGGCTTGGCTGTGGCTGATTACTGATTGAATTAGAGAATGGATGTTATGAGATACTGACTGAGCAGGAGGCACTGAATGGACTGGCTAGTTCTGGACTCTGAGAGATGACTGGTGGTGAATTTGGATTGGATTGAAGGCTGAGTGGACTGGTTTGTTGCTGGGATCTGATTGGATGAACAATTGGTTTAGCAGATCCATGCTGGGGAAGGATCCCCACTCCCTACACTTTCATACCAGTTCAGACTGTTTAAGCATGATGTAGCCTTCAAGCAGCAGTTTCTCTTTCTCTCTCTCCCCTTCTCATACTTTCACACACACACACACACACATTCTCTGGTGAGCAGAACATACTGGATAGTTACTTACATCTTTGAACTTCATCTTCACCACTGGAAAATGGGTGTGATAATGCCAGCTATGTCACCAGTCTGTTGTGAGGATCTAATGAGAGACAAATGAGACTGAGCCTTATAGACTGGAAAGTCCCAAGTAGGCAGGAAATAAATATGATGGGGTCTTTATAAGCTTAAAGATGTCCGTACTACCCACCTCATGCCAAAAGAAGTCCAGTGAGGGGAGTGTGCTGTCTAGAGAGGAATAACACACTTCCTTTTGTGTTTCCATCTGTCAGTGGGAACTTCCTTCCTAGTCAAGACATTCAAGGAAAAATTAGAAGGCGACCATGGCAACAGGGCAGTGGAGTTGGGGCTGAGAGAGTCTTTGCATAAGCCCAACCTTAATGATAAAAATGTTTGTTTTACTTTTAGAATAGATAATACATCCATTTGGTTCAAAAATCTAAACTTACATAAAAAGTAATACAGAAAGCCTTATCCCACCCTGTGTGCCTTGCCCCACTCACCCCATTTCCTAAGGAACCACTTCGGTAGTTTCACGTGAATCCCTCCAGTATTTCTTTATGATGAATGACATCTAGTGAGCACTTTCTCTCTCCCAGGAAATCATCTAATACATGTAACACTCTTTACATTAGTTATCTCATTCAATTCTCACAACAGACCGATGGGGTACGTGTGGCATGAGACCCCCATTTTACAGAGGAGGAAACTGAAGTCCAGAGGTTTCCAGTTGCTTCTGCTGCTGAAGCAACTTGCCCAAGTTCATTCAGGAAGTACAGGGGTCTGTCTCCAAAGTGAGAGTTCATGACCACTAGTCACCTGCCTCCCTGGTAAGTGCAGGGGCAGGCATGTGGGCTTTTTCTTTTCTTTTAAATAAATATATTTGTATTGATTTCAGAGAAAAAAGGAGAGGAAGAGGGAGAGAGAAACATCAAGGATAATGATTGATTGGCTGCCTCCTGCACGCCCCCCACTGGGGATCGAGCCAGCAACCCAGGCATGTGCTCTTGACCTGATTCAAACCTGGGACCCTTCAGTCCCCAGGTTGGCGCTCTACCCACTGCACCAAACCAGCTAGGGCAGCGTCGGCTTTTTCAAGCATCTGGGCTGAGCATGGGGGCATCTACGTTTTATTGCAGGCAACTACCTGCCTTTAGTCGCTGGCTTTCCTGACTGTACAACGGACAAATCAAACTCGGCCCCTTCCAAAACCCCGGCGTGGCGCACCCCAACAATAACGCTTGCCCCCACCCTCTCTGCTCTCTCCACAGGACCGCCGCGAGAGCCGGCCCACCTCCCCGCCCTGGACGCCAGGCCCCTCCCGGCCCCCCAG